AAATTAACATAACAGAGGTTTTATATATAAAAGGCACATCTTTTGTTTGTTAAGAAGTTCGGACCAGATTGCCGAACGAAACGTTGGAATTACTCATTTCAATATCGCTGAGATATTACAAATATAATTTTTTACAAATGTCTAGGTAGATGTGATTGATCGACTTAAGAAAAGCACTCATACCCCATTGGTTCTTGGGTTCGAGTCCTGTTTCACCGCCATTTTCAGCCTCCAAAAACTGTATAGTATTCTCAACTGTTATGCAGTGTGTCACAGTCAGTGTAACACCAACACTACCACCCCCGTTCATGTGATTAGGGATACGATTGTCAGCTGATGTCCTTCTAACTAAACCTTGGCTACTGTTCATTTAGCTGATAGATAGATATGGGTGTTAGGCTGGGGGGTGAGTTAACAAGCTCATTTTGCATTTAATTAGAATTTAATTGGTGGATGGTGACAAGCAGTGGAATCCAGGATGCATATTTCGTCTCATTTGGGACTCATCATCTGGATGTACCTGCACTTCCCAGTGAGTGATGATGCTCCCGCCGAGGACGAAATGCGCGTTGTCCTAGATTCCACTGCTAGTCACTATCCACCAATTAACTTCTAATTGCATGCCCAGACATCGTCAAAGCATCTGCACAAGAAGCTGACATGCCAACCTGAGAGCGAGCAATTCGGTCCAATCAATCGATGGGAAAATCTAAAGACTTCAATTAAACCTCAGTCGGCGTTAAGGTCTTAAGTCTGTAAGCCCTATGCTTTACTCGGAACACAATTATCACTACTCATAGGCTGTTCTTAGTAAAATGAGTTTAAAAAATATTTCTTCAACAGGAGCATGCTACTCAACGCTTCAAATGTTTAATTCTAGAGTCAAAACAAGGTTTTCGATGGGGGGGGAATGATGAAATGTGATGAATAATTCAACACAGACGTGCACACAAACATGCCACTTATACTGGCTTAGTAGTACATTCTAGAATGAAAAAAAAGTACTGAACTTGTTGTTTTTTACTCCTTTACGTTCCCAGTGGAACATAGGGTGACTTCAAGCTACAGGCTTTAAGTTTCGGTAACAGTGGTGTTTATTTTTATGGAATGGGGTTGCTAGCTAGCCTCATGGCCAACCTCCCCTCTCTACCAGTCTTATTACTCGCTTAGCGAGGTAGAGGAGTTCGTCTGTGGCCGGGGATCGAACCCCGGACCAAATAGGCGTGGTCGGCGAGCATTCCTACCTCTGTGCCACCGATGCACACAAATCCCGACGGGGGATGAGATACGAACCGACGCGGGGAAGACCCAATGGACTAGCAGTCCATCGCCTTAACCACTCGACTCCACACCGTCCAAACATTATCAGAGCTAGGCGCATGCATATAGCACACAGCCTTCTTCAAACCTTACACACGACCATTAGGTCGTGACAGGTTAGGTACCCCCATTGAACTTGTAGTGAATACTATTCATTTGTTGATTGTATGCACATATATACATCACAGAGTGAAATCGTGTGTCATATTTACAAAATGACGTTGTTTATCTTCATATCACCAACAATGTGTAACTCTACAATTTTCGAAAATCATCCATCCTTCCTCGACATTTTATCTTAAGGAGAGTAGAATTTTCCAGATATCAAGGAGAGATAGGTGATGAATCATTCTTATTGCATGCACCATTCTTAGTTGATTCTATAAATACATAGGTAAATAAAGTTTCAGCTAACGCATCCTTCTCTCTATATATATATGAATGCTGCTATATTAGATTTTATGACTGTCAATCTTATCCATTCCAATTGTATGTGTGTATTGTGTGTGTGTGTGTGTGTGTGTGTGTGTAACTAACTGCATTTAGTGTTATAGCTGGGCTATTTTATAGATTATTTTTCAATCTAATAAGGGTCGCTCTCTCTCCCGCGCTGTACTAGCGTGAATTCTGTTTAGTTAATATACTTTGCTTATCTAATTTGACCCTACTTTGACCTATTTATGCATTTATTTATTTATTTATTTAACCTCATAATCATTGTAAGGTATTATAAATAAACTAAATGATTTTGTTTACTGTAAGCCACAGAGTCCGTTAACGGATAAAATTCATTTATAAGTGAGTGAGTTTGTAGATGATTAACTGAATGAGACTTTTATTCCTGCCTTGTTACGAAGAATCCTAAATAGGCTCTCTTAGGTTCCCTCTTTGTATGTTAGCACTATTGATGGGTGTCGGTGTCTCACCGTTAAAATATTCTCCAATCACACCAGACATGGTCCGGAGTTCGATTCCCGGCTGACGCACTCCTAAACCTCACTCAACCCAGTGGTAAAGGGGTAAGACTGAGTATGAGGCTAACAACTCCTCCCCCCACCCCCCCAGTAAAAATAAAACTGATGCTACGGAAACTTTAAAACTGAAGCTTGGAGCTCTGTGTTCTACTGGTAGAGCAAAATGATATTCTAAATTCCCTATTATAGATATTGTCGTCTATCTAAGAATGTTTGGTATTCATGTCGTCTATACAGTGGGATTGCACACGGTGACAATGTTAACTTCTAATAAAATGAGGTAGAGAAGGAGGAATTAATGGCTAAAGCTGCATATTTATCGGATCAATAGGAATGATTCAACATCTGCTCAGGGCATTTAATAAAATTCCAATATTATTACTACGACAAATAGGCAAGAAGGAAGAAAACTATAAAAGTCTCAGCTTTGAAAACACTCTGTAATTACGATTGAAGAAATGATTATGAACAACAATAGATGGTTATGGGATTTGTCGGAATTCAGGTTAGTGTAATTCCAATTATTAGATTTCATCACTAAACAACACCAGTTAGAGATTATTGAAAAAACGACTGTTTCGTCCTATTCGGTGACTCTTCAGCGCCCCCACCCGAAGATCGAACCCAACCAACGAGTCTTGGTCTGGTACCTCGAAGGCACCAGGACCGATCCCTTGTGCTGCCGCACTGCCGAAGAATCCCAAAATAGGACGAAACAGCTGCTGTCCAGTACTACTTGGATTTCATTCAACGATCTCTCTAAATAATATTGGTTTGTGACAAAATTAAATTAATCTGAATCCCTACAAATTGCATTACCTAAATATTAATTAATGGAAGGATGTCCTGAAGTTTTTATTGAGAAATCGTGACCAGTGAGGTCTTCCACGTCAAAGGTGAGGTGAATTCTCATCGAAGGCGCGGCTAATAACGGCAGAGCACCAAATCACGAAGTGAAAAAGTTAAAATTCACGGTTCAAGAAGCTTCAACCCCATTAGTTGAATAGTCAACAGGGCTTGGTTTCATAACCTGCAGACCCCTGGTTGGATCCCCCGGTAAAGTCATGAGTGTGAGCAGTGATAGGAATCTACAAGTAAAAGGAAACAGCTGTTGTCCCCCGTGTGCTCCCTGGCTTTTATTAGCCTCACTAACTGGTGTTGATTTCGTCACGAAATCTAATCATTTGGTAATAAATAATAAATTGTTTTTGAAACATTGTTATCTAGTAAACAATAATATTATTTCACCCATCTATGACGTACCTAGTGAATAAACAAATAATTATGGAATTACATACATAGTAACTAACTAACTAACTAACACGATATCCAAGTTTTACATACACTTACATATGAAATATGTTGAATATAAGAATAGAACTTGGGCATTGTTGTGGTACAGTATAATTCTCTAATATGAAGAAATTTTTATTTTGATGATAAAGTCTCACAGAGTGTATTTTATGGTATTATTTACTAATTTGAGTTTTGAGCATTATTTATTACAGCTCATAATCATACCAAGCCACTACTCACAGAACTTTATGACTTCGTTTATATAATTCCATTATTTCTCTCATTCCTGGATTAGATTGGTAGTCATATTTTCTACTTTGTGGGGATCTGAGTTGAGTCATTCCTATTGCATGTTACATACAGCATTCATCACAAGCTGACATCAGTTAGAGAACCATTGAAAACCAGTACTGGAGTACTGGACAGCTGTTTCGTCAGCCTAGTTTGTTTTAGACTCTTCATCAGTACGCACCCACAGGCTGGGGTTCGAACCCAGGACCTCCCGGTTACGAGGTGAACTAATAGGCCAATAAGCCATTGGGACCCAACCCAATGGTGCTATTGCACGTATTTGGTGTAGATTTTATGGACAAAATTTCAGTAATCAACCTCCTTCTCCATCTATCTATATTACTTTTAAGAACTGCAGCTCTGTCCCACCTTATTGTGTGGTTATGTATTGGTGCATTCAATACAATTGCTGAGTTTTTTTTCTAAATTACTCATCTTCGCGGAGTCAATCATTCTCCGCTAAGCTAAATTCTTATGTTCTGATTATTTGACTACCCCTCACCTACTAGTTTGACCTATGTAGTTGACTTAACTCACAGTCATTGCAATGTATTGTGTAAATTATATTATTGTCTAACTGGGTCTGTCTACAAGGTCCTTTAACCTACAGAGCTTGTCCTACCTGAGTGAATTTTGTAGGTTTAAACGCCACCGTAATTCCTGCTTCATTAAAAATCCCACGTAGGATCTCAGAATATCCCAACAAATGAAATAAGATTCAAATCAAGAGACGACAAACGGCAGGATTACATATAAACGAAGTCAAAACATTTTGTGATTAGTGCCTTGATATGATGCTTATGAGCAGTAATAAATTGTGCTCAATATTACTGTATAGCACATACTGCGTCGATGGCACAGTGGTTAGGACGCTCGCGGGGGTTCGATCCCCAGCCGCAGACGCACTCCTATACCTCGTTAAGCCAGTAATAAGACTGGTAGAGAGGAAAGGTTGGACATGAGGCTAGCAACCTCATTCTGTAAAAATAAACACTGCTACAGAAACGTCAAGCCTCTAGCTTGAAGCCCTCTATGTTCCACTGGGAACGTGAGGGAAAAAAAACACGCAAAATCCACAAACTAATGAAAACAAAACAAACATATACAAATAAAACTTACCCTTCATATGATGATTTGTTGTAGTACTCGGTGGTACTGGTGCTGGAAGACCAAGTGGTTGACCCCATTGTTTTATTGGATCAAATATTGATTCATCTGTAGTTGGTGTTGTTGTTGGCGTTGCTGTATTCGCATAGTGTGGATCTTGCATCAGATGATCTATAATATCTCCATGGTAATCCTTATTATTATTATTATTATATTCAAGTTGTCGAATTCTTTCAATGAACTAGCAGATAGCGTGGCTGACGGAGGCGGTGTTTTCGGTGTTGTCGCCATTGGATTGTTATTCCCAGAGAAATCATTGTCATCACAATTATTCAACATTTGACGAGAAGTGTACGGTGAATGTGATGACAGATGAGCAGATTTCAATAATTCACTTGTAGTAATGTGATCATCATCATCATCGATCATTGTCTCTAATAGTTGATTTGGTTGTTCTGATTGGTTCATACTACTATTATTATTGTTATATAAGTAGTTGTAATGGTGATTTTCATCTAAACAAAAAAAAGAACAACAAAAGTGTTTAGGTATTAGATTGTTGTTTTTGGTAGGGATTTTATTAAGATATCGGGTGTGCGTCGGCAGGGGATCGAACCCCGGACCATGTGCATGGTCGGCGGGAGTCCTAACCACTGTTCCACCGACGCCGAAAAGAGTCTCTTCGCTGAACGCCTTCTTTATTTTATTAAGAACCAGAGTCGGTAGTGTTCACTGGTGAAACACCGGCCAACCACGTAAGTGGTCCAGGGTTCGACTCCTTTACCTCCTTTAGCCAATGGTAGTAAGTCAGGTAAACAGGGGAGGTCGGGTTGGGTGTGAGGTTAGCAACCCCACCCCGTATAAGGAAAATAAACACCACTGCTACTGAAACTTCAAACCTCTAGCTTGAAGCCCTACGACGTTCCACTGCGAACGCGAAGGAATAAAATGCAGAAATGAACGTTAAGAACCAATATCAATTAAGGAGTTACTACATGAAAACATCAAAGAGCACCGGGCAGCAGCAGTGTTTTGTAAACTGACTACAGTTCGGAGGATACATAGGTTACCCAAGAGCCACGGTTCCATCCAGGGTGGGGTGGCTCAGGGTCATCACTAACGACTGATAAAGAGTCCCAAACGAATACAGAACAGCTAATGTTGAATGCTCCAAGGGTTTTCAACAATGATTCTCTAAGTGATATGTCACAGTTCGTGACAAAATTGAATTTGAACGAAAACTATGACTAATCATTATGATAAATAGAGTAAATTCTGAAAGGAAACAATTTCACGTAGTATAATCACCGATGTGTTGTGCCATCAAAGGTTAAATTAAACATGTAAGTCTAGTGATAATGACAGTACATAAGGAAGCGCATTATGAATAACTTTCAACTAATTATGTCAAATCATTAAAGAGCTCTAATAATGACAATGCCACACATGTCACACCGAAAAACTCAGCGAATCCCTTTGAAGTGAATACAGAAATTAGACAAGCCTGTCTACTGTCACCGACGTTATTCCTGACTGTGGTAGACCAGATCATGCAGAAGACCACAGAGAGCGAAAGACAGGAATATGTTGGAGCACCGATAAGAAGACTTTAGAAGATCTGGATTTCGCGAGTGGCTTATGTTTAGTGTCACACAGACTTAAAGACTTACAGGCGAAAACCAACAAACTGGCAAAAGAGGCACAGAAGACAGGAAGGACTTCAAGTAAACACCGAGAAGACGGATGTGATGAATATAACCAACAACAAGCCACAATCCCTATCAAGGGAATAAATTTGAAGGAGATCACTTCGTTCACTCACATGAACAGCATCGTCTCAAGTATAGGCAGTCGGCATGGATGATGACGTCAAAGCCAGCCAGGATTGGAAAGCCAAGACAGACCTTTACCCCGCTGAAGTCAGTGTGCAGATCTGCTGCAATCCACATAAAGAAACAAGACTCGAATTTTCAACACAAATGTTAAGTCAATCACTTCTTCTATGTGGGTGACAAACTTGGCGCCCCCATCACGATAAGCATTTCCAACAAGCTGCTGCCGACTTTTATCAAAAACTACCTTCGCCACATATTGAACATTAAATATGTAAGAAGGATTTGGACCAAACAAGAAACTTTGAAAACAAACCAATCAAGAACCTATTGCTCAAAGAAAATGGAGATGGGTAGGACAAACGTTAAGGAGACCGTTGGGTGACATCGCACACCAGACCTTCTGTTCGTATGGAACCCGAATGAGAAATAAAGAGCTGACCATAGGTCCGAGATTGTCATGGAAGAAATTGTGTATCAAGGAGAAGACGAAAACCTATCTACAGTCATGACCACAGACAACAGGAGAAAATGGAGATGTCCTGTTGAAGTTCTATGTTCCACTTGGAAGCTATGGTAACAATGAAGCTTTTTGGAAATAGCTGGCGTCTACTCATTCCACATAAATAAATAAATAAATAAATTCAATGCTTTCTACAGCTAGCTATGGGTGTAACACACAGACACAGTCAGATCTGTCTGTCTGTTTTCGACGAAGAACTTTGCACATATGTGCAGCAGTTCAAGTCGCCACACTCCCTCCATGTAGCACACAAAGCAAGAGAAGAAAGTAGAAGAAATGCATAATAGAGACAGTAAATAGAGGTGTGAGACAAAGGAATAGTAACAACGAAGAACTATAAAGTAACACTGGAAATCATCAGTCACAAGAAATGGATGAATCTGTGCCATTACTGAGAACGATTTTGAGCCATATCACCAATTGTTTCCAACCATTGGTTTTACCGTCCCGAGGACCCTAACCAGGAAGTCTACACCTTCCTACGTGGCTTAGACTAACTATTGTACATTTCACTGACTGGTGCCACCATGTTTTCGTTTGACCGCCGCTAGCTCTTTTCCAACCTGACCTTATGACAGCTAACATTGCCCATTATCGAAGAAGGCGATGACTAGGCTAGCATGTGTAACACATGCCCTAACCATCTCAGTCGATGTAATTTCACAGCCTCGTCAATTGATTTCCCCTCCCACCTACCTAGCACTCGACGCCTAACCTCAATATTGCTCACCTTATTATACCACTTCACACGGGAGATAGAAGGCAGGCACCTATGATCAAGGACGGCTAATCTGTTCATGCCTTCCGCTCTCAATGGCCAGGTTTCACAGCCATAAAGGAGGACGGAGTGGACTGTTGAGCAGTACACACGCCCTTTGGTCGATAGTCGGATATCACGTCTACTAAGCCAGAGACGGTGTAAACTGGCATATGCGAAACTAGCCCTCTGTATTCGTGCTGAGATTTCGTCGTAGATCAACCCGTTGGGGCTGATGGTACTTCCCAAATAAGTGAAGCGGTCAACGTGCTCTACCACTTCACTTCCTATTTCTAATCTAGGGGTCGGTGTAGTCCAATCCTGCAACATCATCTTACATTTTACAAGGGCCAGGGGGCATGCCGAACATTCGTAGATTGTTGCTCAAGGTGTTCAGAAGACTCTGCATTACAATTAACTAACTAACTAACTAAAACGTAGTACACACACACAAACACACACCTGATTTCTTTAGCTTTAAAAGTTGAAAAGAAAGCCAAGCTCAATCGTCTGTCCTGTTTTCTTATGCTTATTAGACTGTCTTAGTCAAAACAATGATGGACTATGTTGTGCGCTTAACTTGAATGAAAGAGAAACACTCACTCACTCACTTACACTCACGCACACACACACACACATCCCAAGACCCAGTTAAATCAATGTCCATCACTGTTCTTCAAGGTAAACACAATGCAGCACAATAGAATCAATTCATGCTATAGTAGCAAATATATATGTATTAATCAATTAATTAATTAATTAAGGTCAAGACCACCCCCCCTAGAATGAAAGAAGAAGACAATAATAACAAACACACATGTGTGTACGTCATTTTTCAATCTGTCACTTTCAGTCAGTCAGTCAGCCGGTCAATCAGTCACTTCTAGATGAGTGCCAGCATGGTACCTACTTCGATGAATAAATGAAACTAGCTAGAAGTATTTTTTTTAATAGTTGTTCAGTTCTTCAATTTGAAAAAATAGTATATGTTCAACATTAAGTTTTAACTGTCAATATTAAAGAAAATGACAGCAATAGTAGCAACGATAGTGTAACAGTTTAAGCATGCAAACTGCCTTAGAAAGAATTGACAAGTGAGTTTGTCTATTTAAATGACACTGAAAGTGCATCAGTTCAAGTTGTTGACACACTTCAAATATTATATACTACATCAAGGTAGAGAAAAAGAAATTTTAAAAGAGCTTTCTAATATTGAATAGGAAGTACACAGTAGAAATATACACATATGCGAAGTGAAGTGGTTGAGTGTTTTGACCGCTTCATTGATTTGAGAAGTTGCATCAGCCCCAACGGGTTGATCGCTGACGCAATATCTCAGCATGGATACAATAGGATCGTGTGGCACCTGTCTCTGTTAGAGACGACCGAAGGACGCCTGTAATGATCAGAAGTTCATTCCGTCCTCCTACAAGGCTATGAGAGATGGTGGCCATTGAAAGTGGAAGACATGAAAAGGCTAGCTAACTGTCTTTGATCATAGATGTCTGCCTTCTGTCTCCCGTGTTAGGTGGTATAATAGGGAGAGGTCAAGTGCTAGTGTAAGTTAAGGAGGGGAATCATCAATCGACGAGGTTGTGAAGTTACATCGATTGAGAGTAGAGTGTTACGCATGCACACCAAGCCATCGCCTTCCTCGACAGGAAATCTTAGGTAACATAGGCTCAGGTTGGAAAGGAGCAAGTGGTGGTCAAACGAAAACTTGGCTTCATCAGTCAATGAAATCCATATCAGTTAGTTTAAGCCAGCCAGCCAGCCAGTTAGGCATGTAGGCAGGTGTAGACTGTGTGGTTGGTTGGGGTCCTTGGGATGGTAAGAGCCAATAACTTCTGGAGGCAGACAATTGGTGATGTGACTCAAACTCATCGTTCCCAGTCAGTGATGGTGCAGCAGATGCATTCATTCACTCTTTATGATGATTTGTCATATCCAATAAAAGTCTAGTGTTCTTCCATATTACTGCTGTTCTTTTTCCCTTACTCACTCTTGTGTTTATTATCTCACTCGTTACTCTCTTCTGTTGCTTTATGTGGTAAATGGAGGGAGAGTGGCAAGGGGAACTGGTGTACTACTTCTGTGCAAAGCAATTCTATGTTGAAATCAGTCAATCAGTCAGTTAGATTACGAGTTGATGACATCAGTTAGAGAACGATTGGAAAAACATTTGGGAATACTGGATAGCTGTTTCGTCCCAGTTTTTTGACTCTTCGGAAGTACACACCCATCGTCAGAGTTCGAATCTAGGACCTTCTGGTAATTTGACATAAATATATAGCGCAACAGCCAGCCACTGTCTTGGACGAGTTACTGATCTATTACGTGACTTGATGGACCCCTGAAGATCCTGGTTTCCAACCCTGGCGGTAGATGGGGTGGGTGCAAACCAGGACAAAACGGGGCTGTCCAGTATTCCCATCTGGTTTTCCAATGGTCCTCTAACTGATGTCATCAACTCGTGATGAAACCAATCCCTGCAAACCAACACACTTGATGATATGAGTTAAACAAGAAGTCAATATTAGAGAATCTCTAGTTTCCTGATTTGCCTTCCGTTATACTCTCTTATCTGTCTGTCTGTCTATCTATCTATCCGCCTATCTCTTTGAACGCCCTACAACTTCAAAATAACCGAAATTGAGACTGGGAAACAATTAGAGTGAAAATATCACGGCTATAATAATAATAATAATAATAATTATTATTATTATGATCGCTTTTAGTCTCGTAAATATATATATTTAATATACATATCTACAGTTATCATAGACAGTAGTAGCAATAGTAGTAGATTAACCGATAGGGGTTATTTATCCCAGGGAACAAAACAAAACTAAAAAAAAACACCAGATTATTTTTGATAATGAACGTACGATTGAGATGAAACAGTTGTGATAAAATAACAGCAGGCCTTTCTACTTCATATATTACTGATACACTAATTGTGATAGAAAAAAATATATAAAGCAAATGCATTTTATACAATCTCTTCTTTTTCATTCCCAGAAGAAAAAGAAATATTCTGGTAAATAAGTTTCAGCAGTATGAAAAAGGAAGAAAAACAGCCCAATGTGAACTAGGCAACACTGAAATGCTGCTTACGTGATAGAATAAAAAAATGTTAAATGATTCAAGGCAATCGGTGTGGAGCTCCAGATGAAAGTAAGAGGGTTTAGGCTTGTTGTCACTCACACCAGTCAGTCAGTCAAGCAAGGTATATCTGCAACCTTGGAGGAATTCATTTGCCCACTGAGATTGGAACCCGTATCCCCAAGTACTGCAATCAGAAACAATGTTACTACTGAGCTATTCGGGATTGCTATTACCCTGGATTCTATCAGCAAGGTTAGCAATGAGGCCACCATGTTAGGTGGCTCGATGTCCTTTCTTCTACGCATCGGATGTCAGTGGTATCAGGGTTGTGACAGCTGTCGTTGGGAATAGTGATTAGGACAGTAGGCTAACGAACCTGCTGGTTAGGAAGTTCGTTAGCACAAGACTGCGTAAATTATCAGGTTGTATTACACAGCTACATCAGACGATATACTACAGAAGATGGCTCTTTTACTTGAAGATTCTGGACGAAGTGAAAATATTATGCAGTAAGTCACGCTAAGAATTCCATACAATGTGAAGAAACTTCACCTAGAATAAAGTTATTATATAAAAAACCTTAATCCATCAGGTTACTGAACCACAAGAACGACACCTTGTGCAAAGTGTATGGATTGCAATATACTGAGATGTTTTGTCCATCAACACTTAACACGACCCAAATATTTGGTGTCTGTTAATATTCTTCTCCCTTATTCCTTATTCCTTTACGCTCCTAGTGGAACATAGGGTGCCTTCAAACTATAGGCTTGAAGTTTCGGTGGCAGTGGTGTTTATTTTCTACAGGATGGAGTTGCTAGCCTCATGCCCAACTTTCCCTCTTTACTAGTCTTATTACTGTTAGCTGACATAGGGTCAGACTGGAAAACCAAAACATGGCTGCACCAGTCAATGAAATCTCCAACAGTTAGTTTAAGCCACGTAGGAAGGTGTAGGCTTCCTGGTTGGGGTCCTCGGGACGGTATAAACCAATGGCTGGAAACAATTGGTGATATGGATCAAACTCATAATTCTCAATGGCTGGTGCAGATGCATCCACTTCTTGTGACTTATGATTTCAAATGAAACTATATCGTTATTACTATTTTTTGTCTCACACATCTGTTTACTGTGTCTAATATGCATTTCTTCTACTTTCTTCTCTTGCTTTGTGTGCTACATGGAGGGAGTGTGGCGACTTGAACTGCTGCACATCGGTGCAGAGTTCTATGTCGAGAACAGACAGAGAGACTGGCTTAGCATCAGCCGTGGATCAAACCCCGAACCACATGGGGCGTGGTTGGCGAGCATTCTACCGCACGTCTGTTAATATGTTAATTGTGAATAGATATATGCTTCCCTTGTGCCTTGCAGCTATCTTGATATATTGCATATTGTACTTCAGTAAGAATTTTCAACTTGATAATCACGCCCTAGAGACGATCCATTATCTATAATCAACGTGTAAACATCTGACCCTAAAAACATTGAGCGATTCAATGCTGTACATCTAAGCGATATGAAAAGTACCAACAATTTCTAAAATATATAGTAACAAACATTAGGTTGGGGGATTTCAGAATGAGTTGACATCAGTTGAAGAACCATTGGAAACCAGTACTGGAGTACAGGACAGACGTTTCGTCCTCGTTTGGGACTCCTCATCAGTACGCACCCACCACAGACGGGATTCGAACCCAGGACCTTCAAGTTACAAGGATAGAGAGGTCGGAGACCATTAAGCCACTGGGACCCAATCCAATGGCCAGCGCATGAATTGTAACTCCTACCAATTAGAACCCCGGTGGGTGCGTACTGATCAAGAGCTCCAAACTAGGACGAAACAGCTGATTGTCCAGTACTCCCAGCTGGTTTTCAACTGGCTCTCTAACTGATATCAGCTCATGATTAAATCCTTCAACCAATCAAACAAAATCCCTGCAAAACTAATACTTTTTTCGATTATAGCTTGATTCCACACTGTATTTTTGGTACAAGTATGTAATTTTCAGTATGTGATATCGGTAGCCCAAATTTTTGCAGGCCGACCATTGATATCAGGTGTGCGTCAGGAAGGGTTCGAATCCCGGACCATGTGCACGGTCGGCTAGAGTCCTAACCTTTGTGCTACCGACGCAAGACAGATTTATAAAATTTCATATGAATTTAAAAGAATATACCACCACTAAGAGGTCTGTTGACCGACTGAGTGACTAAATTCACCGAAGAACTTTGCACAGAGGTAGTGTAGCAGTTCAAACTGCCACTCTCGATGTATTACACAAAGAAAGACAAAAGAGAGGAGAAAAAAGAGATGCGAAAGAACGATAACAACCAGAAATATGATGGAGAAAGAATAGTAAGATGGAAAAACAACGGAGGTTTATTGGATACAGCAGATCACACAGAGTGGATGTGTCTACGCCATCACTGACTGAGAACGACTTTCAGTCATATTACCAAATGTACACCAGCCATCGGTTCTCAGTACGCCGAGGACCCCAACCAGCCACACAGTCTACACCTTCTTACATGGAGCTGACTCAAACTTACAGCCAACAATTTCATGAATTGATTCCAAGTTATGGTTTGACCACCACTCGTTCTTTTCCAACTTGATCCTATGTCAGCTAACATTCCCCATGGAGGAAACCGATGACTCAGGATGCTTAACACATGTCCTAACCATCTCAATAAATTCACCTTGATAACTTTGACAATCGACTGACTCTCCCTGTTTACACCTAACACTCGACATCTAATCGCAATAGTTTACTCACCTTGTTATATCACTTAACAAGGGAAATAGGACGCAGACACCTATAATCAAAGGGATCTGTTAAATACCACCCACCATCTCACCTTCACACATACACACAAGGGGAACAAACAAAGTAGAGTAAAAAGCGGACACTTAATAAGGCACAAATAAAAAAGAAAACAAAACTGAAAGTAGGAATGCACAGGAAGAAAATCAATATCCACCTACCTTGACTATTATTGTTATTTGTTGAAATTTGTTCAAAATTTGAATATCCATTCGCGTTACCACCACCGTTGAGATTAAATCCATTTGTATACGGATAATTATTATTATTAATAGTAGTAGTGGAAGTAATATTCATTGAATAATTCAATTCTTTCAACTCATCAACATCATCAGAATGCTGTTCCTGATGGAGATGGGGATGATGATGGAGAGGAGTAGAAGTAGAAGCAGTAGAAAGATCAGTGTGTAGCTGACTTTCAAAGGCTGTAGTAGCAATTCCATTGAAATCTCCTTCTGAAGGCATACAATTAATCACTGTCGTATTAACATCACCGTCACCATCAGCATCACCGTCGTCATCAGTAGTCATAGTTGTAGTAGGCATCATTGATACATTGGTATTATTATTCAATGATATGGATGATGAATAAGCTTGTTGTTGGGCTAGACTTGAATAATCCAACAGTTGTTCAGCGTGTTGTTCTGTGTTGTTCTTCACCTTCATTGTTGAACTGTTTACCGACTAATGTCACATCATATTGATCATTACCATCATAGCCATCATCATCATCATCGTTTGGATGTGTTGAACTGACAATATTTTGATTTGGTGATATACAACGATTTGGTGTAGACATTAACGAATTCACTACAGACGTCTGCTGGACTTGTTCATCATCATGCAGATAGTCAGTGTCACATTCATCGTGTTCAACTTCTCCTTCTTCCTCCTTATTATAATGTTGCTCTTCGAGTTGTTGTTGTTGATGATGATCTGGACGACGTATAATGGAGTCGTCTGAGACTTCAGAATCTGGACTGCACATTCTATACGTTTTTTTGTAAATCAATTCATAATGAAAAGACAAAGATGTAAGCAATGGTTAAAATATACATATATATAATATTTATATATATATATGAAACCGTAAATAATATATATATATACATATTTTGTATAACTTGACTCCACACTGCATTTTTGGTACAAGTATGGAATTTTCAGCATGTGATATCGGGAGCCCAAATTTTGCAGGCCGACCATTGATATCCGGTGTGCGTCGGCAGGGGATTGAACCCCGGACCATGTGCATGGTCAGTGAGAGTACTAACCGCTGTGCCACCGAGAACTTGAGCACTGTGGTAGGATTTAATTATTGCATCATCGCTCGCCGACCATGCACATGGTCCGGGGTTTGATCCCCGGCCGACCACTCCTTTACCTCGCTAAGCTAGAAATAATGCTGGTGAAGAGGAAAGGTTGGGCATGAGGCTAGCAACCCAATCCTGTAAAAATAAACACTGCTACAGAAACTTCAGGCCTCTAGCTTGAAGCCCTATGTTCTACTGGGGAACGTGAAAGAAAATATCACACACAGTGCTGATGATGATGCAGTATTAATAACTGCATGTGACAAGGTTTCGAGTATAGATATTTATCGCTGCTCATAATCATATCCAGTTTAGTCACATGGCTTCATATTTTTAACAGTTGGTTTATAAGGATTAGATTTGTTTTTACGAGTTTCACCACGGATTGATATCAGTTAGAGAACCATTGAAAACCAGTCACGGAATATTGGACAGCTATTTCATTCCCCTAGTTTTGGGAATCATCGGCAGTACACACCCACTGCCAAGATTCGAACCCATTCATATTAATATATGTGTAAAACTTGTGCACTGTGGTAGTAAGTAATTCCATATTAGTTTGTTTATTAGGTATATCACACAGTGAATCAGTATTATTTACTGGATGACGTTTCGAACAAAATTTATTGTTCCCATCATATCAATTATAATCACACGACTTCGAAACTTGAGTTTTATAGTTTTCTTTGTTCTCTCCTATTTGTCGTTTGGGTAGTAGAATTTTCCAGATATCGGGGACAGGTGATGAATCATTCCTATTACATGTATTTGCAGCTGATTCGATAAACAAAGCTTCTGTTATCAATCCCTCCCCCCACCCTGCTCTTACATTAGATTTTAAAACTGTCATCCTATCCCATCCTATTGTATGGTTGTGTATGACTGCATGTAGTGCTATAGCTGAACTATTCTCTAGATTTCTAACTTTATTCGGGTCAACCAATCTAGATTTTGCTAAGTTTTTATGTTCAGCTAGTCTGACTGCCCCTGTTCTACTAGTTTGACCTATGTATTTGACCTGACAATCATTGCAGGGTATTAGATAAACTAAATTGTTTTGTTTTAAAGGTTCCACAGGATCCTTTAGCCGACAAAGCTTGTTTCTAATTGAGTTTTCGGGTTTGAATGCCGTTTTTATTCCTGCCTTGTTGAGAATTCTGCATAAGGCTTCCTCGGAAGGAACCTCGGAAGCATGCATTAACACACAACCACACAATTGCATGGTGGGAGAGGGTTAAAATTCTAAAAAGTAATCTAGGTAGGTGGAGAGAGAGGTTGATTACCGAATCCTGCCAGGTTCATCGAATCTACACCCAACACATGCAATAGGAATGAATCATCACTCATACCCGAAGTATGGAAAATAATACTACCAATCAAACCAAGTGAAAAACAATGGAACTATATAAATGTATTTAGGAAGTCGTGTGATTACCTTGATATGATTATGAGCAATAAATTGTACTCGAAACGTCATCAGTAAACATTACTGTATAACACTGTGAGACTTTGTCAAAACAAAATTTACCCATAATGGAATTGCTTCCAGTTTCATCGTTATCCGAATTAACTCTTGAAAATTGTAATTAGTACTATCAATCACCTTCATCGACTTTGTTTAGGAGTATCCATTTGAATTAACAGTACGACTATGGTAAATATTACAGTTAGTTAGTTAGTTAGTTAGTTATAACTAAGCTAACACGCGTCAGTGGCACAGCGGTTAGGATGCTCACCGACCATGAACATGGTCTGGGGTTCGACCCTCGGTCGACGCACACCTAATATCAATGGTCGACCTGCCAATATATCACATGCTGAAAATTCCATACTTGCACCTAAGTACTGTGTAGTATCTTTTTTTATTTAGAAAAAAAAGGAAAGCTAAAACACTTAGATTTTCTATACACCAGGTTATTGTGTAGAGGCTCATCAAACTAACCAGTCCGTGACTCTATCTTAGTAGGACCATTTAGTTGAGTGACAAGTGGTAAAATCAATGAGCCATATATCTTCATTACACCATGTAACTCAATTTGGTTAGTAATCCAAAAGAAACTACTTAGATCCGGATCCTCGTGATTTGCTTTTCCCCATCATCAATCACCAATTATGATCCATTCAAGACTAATTCAAACAATTTCATTATCATTATCACGTACTATAAACAAGAGGTAACCTGAATCACATTTTTAAAGAAAACTCAAGCTGTTCAACTTCTACATGACTGAGTGATGATGTAATAGCCAACAGTTACACACAGGAAACACCCATTGAGAGAATAAGAACCAATTTAGGAATCAATCAATCAATTAGCCAATCAGTCAATCAATCAGTGATCATGATGATGATGAGGCATGATTATTCATAGTGTTGTAATAAGTGTACTACTTATAAGTTTCATTGTAATCGGAGTATACCACCACCCACGTATTATTTTGTTTTTTTTGAAAACTATATTACACCTACATGGCTTGGCAAAGCTGCATTATTGATAGAATATTCGACTTTTATGGTAAATCAAGTATTTGATTTGATTGTATTACTAACACTACTACTATTACTATTATTATTATTTGCAATTAATAGTGTTCTCTGAGCTGACTGGTTGGTTTAGTTGTGGAGCTTTTGTCGTTCCCTCCCCCTTCTGGACAACATCTTACTTCAGCGCAAGTTTTAGCATAAAGTGAAATGATTTAAATTTATTCGTGAGTCATATAACTGCGTCTCCTGGTAACCATCTTTACCTATGTGTATTGATCATTTTTTATTGACTTACATTTTAAAATCTCTCATCACACAATTTACTTTTAATTAGTTGGTAGATTTCGTCTATATTAACGTGTTTGTTAATTGCATATTCGTTTGAGTACCAGGCTTCTAGGAATTCGCTGACTGCACTTTTGGTGTTTCCTCTGTCTAAGATTTCGACATTATCCTAATCAAACTGATGTCCATAATTATCTACATGTATTCATTTGTCTTCCTGTATTCAGATTCGAAGGGGACGCCCACTTTGATGACCGATGTAATGTTGATTACAGTTCATGCATGCAATTTATTTTGTAAATGGTATTAATTTTATCTCTTTTTTCTGTTGGATCTTTCAGTTTGCACAATATCGAATTAAGTGATCTGACTGGCTTGTGTGCTGTATCTATTTCAAATGGTTTCAATATTCTAGCTGTTATTTCAGATATATTTTTTATATATATAGTAGGATGAATTTTCTTGTGTTCTTTGATGATCGTTCCCTGTTGATGTTGTGATTCGACTTTAAACACTTTTTGATGCAATTTCGTGGATAACCATTCTTTTTGAAGACCGTTTGTAGGTAGTTTTCTTCCATTCTTTTCAACTCTGGAGTGCTACAGTGTGTGTTTGAATTCTTTTAAACAATGTCTGCACACAGTTTTGTTTGTGAGTAATTGGGTTATTGCTAGTATATAGTTGAGTATTTGATCTGTGTGTGTTGATTTTCTATATACTTGTGTTTGTAAATTTCATGTGTTGGTTCTTCTGATTAAGACATCTAAAAATGGGATTTTGTTATCTAATTCTTTATCTCTTGTGAATTTGATGTCTTCAAATGTAAAGATGGTTACCGGAAGACGCAATTATATCACTCATGGAAACAATTTAAATCAGTTCACTTTATGCTAAGATGTTGTGCAGAAGGGGGACAACAAAAGCCCTGCAACCAAACCAACCAGCTCAGGGAACACTACTAATTTCAAATCATCCACCTGAGCTACAAATCTTCTCTATTATTATTATTACTATTACTCCTATGCAGCATAGTTTTAACCACAGGCGGCACCACAGCGGGGGGTAGGAAAAGTAAAACAGGCCTTCATCAGTCTAAAATCAGTGTGGAAGAAGAAAACGAAAGATTCGGATTTTCAACACGAATGTCAAGTCAATCCGTGTGCTTCTCTATATGGCTAACAGAAATTTCTTGAATCCTCAAAAGTATTTCGGAAAGAGCCACTGCAGACTTTCATCAACAACCGCCTTAGCTGACTCCATCCATCCTGAAGATCAAATATCCAGAAAGGATAGGGAAGAAGGAACCAATCAAGAACCTAATGCTCAACAGATATGCCCCGAGGAAAATGCAGATGGATCGGACACATACTGAGGAGATAGTTGGGTGATATCACGGGCTGCCAGACATTGGGGCATTCCAGTGGGGCTCGGATGGGAAACAAAGAGTTGTACGTTGGTCTAAGGGTGACATAGAGGAGATCGTATGAGAGGAAAATGAGAGCATATGGTCAATTTTGGAGCTAGCTAAAGAGAACTGCAGTCTAATGCTGAGTTGATTTGATGAAACACGCATAAACACACAAACACACACAGAACTGCCTCAACTTCCAGATTAAATTTGATCACCAGAGAAGCAAATTTATAATTTCGTCTTAATTTGAAATTGGTTCACAAATGAAAGTGTTTATTGAGAGAGTCATGAGTACTATACATAAAATCCGTACACAACTGACGATTCTTATGGCAATGATAATAAATTTTAGGTAATTTGTTTTTTGAAGTTAATTCCTGGAACAGGTCTTTCATGGTCCAGGTTATGAGTTATACTCATTGTGTAATGGGGACTGGAGATTCTATCCACTTGTCTCGGTTGAAACAGATGCAGAAGGAGTTCGAACCCAGACTTGACAAGCTGAAAGTCTCATGCTCAATAAGCCACATCTTCACGCTTTACGTCAAGACAGATTACTCTAATTAAAGGGGTAATAATTCAACCGATATCGATTCGTGATACCATCTATAACTTTGCAAAATATCTGCATACTACTGAAATAGCTGACAGTGTTAGCAGTAGTATATTAAGAATAAATATGCAAAGCAAATAATCAATGAATCAGCCAATCAGTGATGATGTTAATGATGAATAAATAATTACTCATAGTGTAATAAGCGTAATACTTGTACGCTTCATTGTAATTGGAGTATAACACGCCCACGCATTATTTTTTTGGCAGAACTATATTACACACTACTATGTAGTTTAGCAAAGCTGCATTATTGATAAAATGTTTGATTTTCATGCTAAACCAAGTACTGTTACCATTATTATTATTATTATTCCTACGCAGCATGGTTTCAACTATAGGCAGCACAGCAGGGAACAGTCTCATAACCAGAACATCCCGGAGTTCGATCGCTAGCAGTGGGGGTCATTGGGTGAGTGCATTGTTGAAGAGTCCCTCCCACGAAAATAGGACGAAAGCAGCTAAATGTTCAGTAGTACACCCTGGTGTTGTAATGATCTCTCTAAATGTCATGTTGATTCGTGACAGTATGAATGTCATACAATTGAAAATAAGTTTAAAAACCCTTTTTATTTTCTGTAGAAATTCATTTATGGAATATACATTATTCACAATCCCAAACACAAAAACAACATTGTCTTTTATTAATTCTCATGAGTATTTTTTTAAACAGGGGTTTGAGATCTGTTTCAAGTCTGAGTAGAGATTGTTGCCGGGTTAGAGAACTATTGACAATCATCACGGAGTAGAACTGGACAGTCAAATCAGAAGAGGATAATAAATAGTCTTAAAATTCTATTTCAATTCAATTCACATAAATTATAACATTCTAACAAGTCACTTATTTTGACTATAAAATCACACTCGTCTTATTTCCCATCTGATTGTATTTGATCAATAACACTCATATTATTATTGTTTCTGAATGTACATTATCTTATATTGATTTTTATTCAAATGTCTAATCATCACTTTTTACTCATGTATATAAATGAAGCAAGAAAGTTGTGTGAGTGAGCAGCCTGATATGATTATGAGTGGCAATAATTTGTGCTCGAAACGTGGTCATCAGTTAATATTACTGTATAACACCTCTGTGTGATTTATCAAAATGAAATCTTATCCATACTGGACAGTCAGCTGTTTCGGCCTAGTCTGGGACTCATCGACAGTAATAGTCGCGCTAAAATCACGAATTAGTGGGAGTTAGAATTCAAAGGGCATTGAGTCAGGAGTCGCAGTGGCTGAATGGTCTACATGACTTGACTTGTAACCAAGAGGTCCTGGCTTCAAACCCTAGCAGTGGGTGCACACACTTCCAATAAGTCCCTAACTAGGAAGAAACAGCTATACATTCATCAGTACCTCCTGGATGGTTTTCAATGGTTCTCTCTAACTCGCAACAATCTGTGATCAGATTTTTGAGAGAAAAATCAAATCCCTGCAAACAAACTCATAAAAATTAATCTGATGCTCGCTAGTGATTGACTGCACGAAGAAGTTTTATCAATCTATTTTATCGATTTCATACTGTTACACTTCAAAACATTTCACTTTAAAGGAGGCGTTTCAGATGTGACGAGAAAGAGTATATCTTGTAAGAGAGAGAGAGAGAATACAATAGATGACTAATTGACCAGCTCACTCACTCATTGATAGACAGACAGACTAACTGACTGGCTGATTAATCCCGCCAGTCGACTAGCGCACCTAAAGTGTGCGTATATGAAAGTGAATAAAACGTATATGATGCACGCATATATGTCGTGCAACAAGAATAACAACAACAAGAAATCGATATTGTTAAACTCACTGAACATTGAAGACTGACGCAATACACAACAACAACAGCAACAACAAGCACACATACATACACACACACACATAGAACGCAAGACAACACAACCCTCATGATGAAGAGACAAGAAATCCACTGCATATTAAAAGAAAAGTTACGCTTGAATGAAAGACAAGAACCACGTAGAAAGCGAGAGAGAGAGTGTGTGTGTGTGTTTGTAAACAGTGAAAACTGATAAATCATAACAGATAACACGAGGAACTTTAGATAAGACTCATACGTGCCTACAAAAATAACAATAGTAATAATAATAGTAATAGTAATAATAAAGATCAACATTGATCTAATAATATGCTACCGTGAGATTAAATCATCAGACAGGACTAGGGGGTGGGGGGATACAAAAATCAATAACCGTTTTTATAAACACTCCCTTTTTTTCACATATGATGACAGTTTTACTCAGAGAGTGGAAGTTATTTCCGTTACAATGTAAACATCTTGTGTGAAAAAGTTGTATGAGAATATTTTCAGGTGTGAGAAAGCAACGTGAGAAAGAGAAAATAAAGAATGAATGAAATAATTCACTCACATAGTGACACAGTGAATAGACTGGGAAGTATTCAGGTATATTGGATGTAATAATATTTGAAATCAGTTAGAGAACCATAGGAAAACCAGCAGCGAGAGTACTGAACAGCCAGCTGTTTCGTCCTACTCTGGGGTTCCTCATCAGTATACACACATCACAAAGGTTCGAACCAAAAACCTTCCGGTTACAAGGCAAGTTCATAGACCTTTCACTCAGCCACTGGGATCCGATCCAATCGCACAGCCATGAATGTTTTTTTTTGATTATAGCTTAATTCCACACAGTATTTTTTGATAAAAGTGTGGAATTTTCAGCATGTGATATCGGTAGCCCAAATTTTGCAGGCCGACCATAGACATCAGGTGTGCTTCGGCGAGGAGTCGAACCCCGGACCATGTGCATGGTCGGTGAGAGTCCTAACCACTGTGCCACCGACGCTCACTAACCAGATGTCATCATGTTAATCTTAAAGCATTATTAAAGCATCCGTAAATGGAGCCGACGTGTTAACACAGACTAGATATTCTGATCCGATGAGCATCAATTAACAGGGAATTCAAAATAACTTCATTAGAATAACAAGTGACATCTACTGAACAATAGGTGATTCTTGCGGTTAAAAATGGGATTGATAAATACTCTTCCAAAAGTTTCGTTTCCTCTATGTTTCCTTATATATTCCGTGGGCAGTGGCTAATAATGAAGAGTCTCAATTTCTGCCAATTTGTGAAATACGGCACAACCAATGTCGTAGGCGATTAAATGTCCACTTACCAGATTTGATGGACCCCACTGATTAATACTTCACACTAGAAGTGAAAATTTCGGATTCACTGGTCATTGGACAGGGTCCCAGGGGTTGAATGGACTATGATCTCGCCTTGTAACCGCAAGGTCTTAGGTCCGAACCTCAGTGGCTGTGTACTGATGAGGAGTCTCAAACAAGGACGAAACAAATGTCCAATAATCCCAGCTAGTTCTTCAATGGTTTTCTAACTAATACCATCAACTCATGATCAAACCTGTTACCAATCAAACCACTGCGAACCAACACTCTGATATCAGAAACTACTAAAAGTTACACTCACAGTTGGATGGTGTAATGTCATTATGTAATATTAACCGAGTATAATTTCACACAATTATCATTATTTGAATAACAGTCGTCTTAAAATACGTTATACTAACAATGTTATTCCACTTCAAATAGTTGGGAGGAGGGTGCGATTAAGATCATTAGAAAACCTGATGAATGAGGGTTACTTAACTAATTATGTGAAACACGAAGCTGCCTATAATATGTTCATCTGTGAGAGCTGAGGTACTAACCGGACACTCAGAGTAAAGCAAATGGTTGATGATTGTCTTGAAAGACCACTTTCTTACCGATTAGACTTGAAGTTCTACCAAAAAGGCAGCAGAACAATGTTAACAGCCGGATTTTCACGCTCTCCGGCAACCAGAACAGGTTCACGCGATTAACGCATAAACAGAATAAAGACAAATGCATGTATTTAAGAAGCTTTCGACGCAGGCTTCGTGCTTATAAGTATTCGTCAGCAAGATGAGTCTATAACCTTAAAGGAGATTCGAACCCACATCCCCCCAGTGTTGCAATCAAGAGAAATTTGGGCAGACTGTAGTGAATATAAGAATTAGTTACTAAAGGATTAACCAATTCAAACATCTAGCCATTATGATTAATGACTAAACCCTAATTAAACTTTATTTCTATCCAAAACTCAGAACTCCTAACCTCTGGGAGTCTGAACTGTCAACAAGCTTGTCTTGCAGTCCTGAAGGTCATCTATTTAGTTGTTGGTAGAGTTAGGGATATATACTGATGAAGAGTCCAAAACTAGGACAAAACAACTGTTTCCATTACTCTCTAGCTTCAGTACGTCAGTGGTTTAATGGTGGCATGCTCACTGGAAGGTCAGGGTTCAATTCCTCTCTGAAACCTCATCTTGAAAGAAGTGAGCCAGCCAGGGAAAGAAAGGAGGGAACCCTACTCTGAAAACGAGAAAAGAAAGAAGGGGAGAAAAACAAAGCCATGCAGATTAAAGTGAATATTAACTTACGGTTGATATTCAGTGACAGTTTCTGCAGTATCAATATGTAAACCTGTAGTAGTAGTAGTAGCCGCCGTAGCATTATCCTCTAGTTGATATGTATCATCAATTTGATTCTCATCAAATTTCCGTACTTGATCATTAATCAATAATGATGAATCATCATGTGTAGTAGAATCAACTTTTTGAACAGACTCGTCAGCCGCCATCATCACCAACATATCGGTGTGTTGTTGTTGTTGTTGTTCATCGTTGGCCTTCTTCTTCTCATCACATAAAGGAGAAGGAAAATCATTACGTAATCGTTGGTCATTATCAGTACTTGAATCAACAGAATAAGTGTTCATTGTCTGAGCTGATGACATAACATTCCCAGCATATTCATAATCAACAGGTTGACTTGAATAGTGTTCAAATTGATTTGTGTATTGATTAACTGGATAAACTTCTTCCATTGATGTTGGAATTTCTTTTGTTGTTGTTGTTGTTGATGTTTTTGATATTTTATAACAAATTCTGTTTCCATTTCATCAATATCTGATTGCCCAGCTTCATTATCAAAATCGTTTTCTTCGCATTCTTGATGTTGTTGTTGCGGTTGTACTTCAACTTGATGAAGCAATTTCTCCTGTTCATTAGAATCAAAAGGACACTCTTCTTCTTCAGGATGTGGTACAACAGATTCTTCTGGTTCAGGAGGATTGTCTGCCCTTACTGCCTCCTCTGGAGCAATTGGTTCTTCTTCTTCTTTTGTAGGCATCGCCATCGTCATCATATGCGAGGGTATATCAGAAGAGACAAAATCGATATCAGTATCAGCCGGTTTCATCATTTGTTCAGTTACTAACAGGTGTGACTCATTATTATCATTATCCTGTGGTATCGATGAATTGATCGCGACATCAGGATGAGTTTGTTCCTCTACTTCCGCTTCTTCTACTTTGTGAATACATGTTTCATTTAAATATGAAGTTGCCTCTTCAACATCATCATCATCCACTGCACTCCTTCTTCTCGTGATGCATCTTTCTCATCTCCAAGATATATTACAGTATCTCCACAAGGTGTATGCATGAAATACGAGTTATGACAGCCATAGTGACTATCATTGAAACTTGATTCATCCAAACCACCACCACCATCACCACCACCAGCATTATCGTTCACATCAATTTCTTCTCTACTTATAACATTTTCAGTAGTATTATAATCAATTATGCTTTGTTGTGGTTCCACATTGTTATTATTATTTTCAATCATACATACAGGCAGTGATGTAGGCATAGGAGTATACCCTTGAATTCCTCCATGTTCATCATTGACATTGAAATCCTCCGCGGCGAGTTGTTCCTCATGTTGTTCCTCCTCGAGAGTAACTGGTACTTCTTGTTTGCCAACTTGTTGTACAGGATCCTCAGAAGTATGAATAATTACTTCATCTTCATCATCATCCTCGTGCAGATGATGGTCGTGGTGGTGACCATTGTCGTGTTCAGCTTCGATACTAATTTGATTTGCCTCTTCAACAAAGTTATTATTTACTACAGAATGAGATTCGGCGTCATTTATTACTTCTATTGGTTTACTACTAACATCCTCCGCCGCATAGATGATTGATTGGTGGTTTTGTTCTTCTCCAGGATCCGCATCATCAAATGGTGTTTTATACTGTTGCGTCATTTCTACACGATTGTATTCAATTTCTGGTGAGATATGATCATCTTTTTCATAAGGAACAGTAGTCTCTTCAGTCATGTCATCATGACTGCCAACGTATAAACTTCCTTGTTCCTGTGGTGATGGTTGTTGGTGTTGTTGGAGGTGCTGTTCCTGTAAATGTAAAAAGTCACCTTCAGCTGCACCCCCTTCTGCTTCCTCTTCTTCTTCTGCTTCGACCACAGCATTTCCATTTAGATCTTCATTTTCATCAACTAATGAATCATTATAGGATTGTTTAAATTCACCTTCGTGTTGTTCCCCTTCTACTTCAAGTTCGTGTTCCACATGTTGTGACGGTTGTTGTTTTGCCTCATTTTCACTTTCATATTCATGATTCAATTGTTCATCGGATTCTTCAGCTAACATCATATTCTCTTGGATTACTTTATGCACTTTGTATTCCTCTTCTTCTCTCCCTCCTACTGTTGTCATTGGTGATGTTGTTGGTACCATTGACTCTTGTTGAATGTCTTCTTCTGGTTGTGGTTGCGGTTGTTGTTGTTGTTCGGGATCCCTAATCTTTATTTGTTCATCAGTTATGAATTTATTCTCTTCAGGTGTTAACACCTCTTTATCGTCGATAACTGGCAAGTTCTGATGATCATCTTGTACATCATCTTTCTCCTGATTATCACCTTCAGTGGAACCTTTCCAACCACTAAGCAGAGGATCAACAGAGGCTAATTCAAGTGAATCATTCAAAGGTGATTGAGGCGTATCATTCTGTGTAGCGTGTGGTAGAGTAGTGGCAGCTATTGCTGCTGCTGCTGTCACTCCCACCGCTGCCGCTGCTGCCACCGCTGCCGAAGCAATGCCAACAGCAACAGGAGCACTGATAACATTCGTCTCATCTTTAGATTCAGCAGTCTTAGGAGGTATTAGTTCTGGTTCTTCAGAGATAGGTTTAGGAGGAGCATGATGATTCGTCTTTGCGCCGGTTATAGTAGATTTCTTTGTTTGTAGTTTATTCGACGATGCTGAGTGTGTTGTAGGCTCTGATCTACGTGTATGCAACTTTGCCGCATTATTGTTATTATTATTATGATTATTAACTAGATTAGAATGTGCAGCTAGGCGTTCAGCAGTGGTAGTTGTAGGCGCAGGTTTCGACTTTGCCATTGTTGTTGACTTCGCTGCAGTTGATGGTCTTGAAGACGGTTTCGACAGCTCTGATACAGGCGGTTGTTTAGTAGATGTTGTGAAGGGTTTTGTCTTCTTTGCCTCCAGAAGTGATGCAGATGCAGATGATGATGAAGTTGGACGTTTTTGATGCGCATCGACACTAACACCATGATGTGAATTATTCACATGTTTGGCGTCTGATGTAGGTTTGTCATGAATTGGTTTCTTTGATGTAGGCGCAGTTAGCGGTGGTTTTGTAGATGTGGTTGTAGTCGCTGGTTTTTGATGTAAAGGAGATGATGTAATATTTCTTGTTGCAGCTGGTCTTCCATTCACATTATTATTATTATTATTGGTTGTCTTTGAAGTAGCTGTTTCTTTTACAGTTGATGTTGCATTCAATGTAGGCGGCTTCCTGAAATAACAACAATAACAAAAGAAGATTAAAACAGATCCACAATGTGTATATAAAAGCAAATAGGCAATAGGGGATTAAAATGGTCCCATTAGAAAGAATTCTAAACTAAATTACATAAATTAGAATTTAATTGGTGGATAGTGACTAGCAGTGGAATCCAGGGCAATGCGCATTTCGTCCTATTTGGGACTCATCAACTGGGTGTACCAACATGTCAACCTGAGACCGAGCACTTCGGCCCAGTCAATCGACGGGAAATGTAAAATTCAATTACACCAAATTGAATATAAGAACAAACAGTTCAGTGAAGAGTCTCTTTTCGCTGGCGAATTCATTCACACTTAGCTAACAGTACAATCGCAATTATATATAATTATTTTTTGTGTGTGCACATTAGGATTGTCAAACAAAAATACAAATAACTTCGGGGTTATTGTTTACGTCATCAAAGTGTTTCAAAAGTGTGATGAGTAATCAAAATTGTAACCAGGGTGGGGTGTGTGAAGATTGGTAAGTATTGACAAGGTACAAAAAGTACATTGATGACACGTTTATCATCTGTGATAACAAATGTGACCTGAATAATGTCCTTCAAGTTTTTAATTGCTGCCACCCAGCCATCAAATTTACAATTGAAGCAGAAACTGGAGAGACAATCTCATTTCTGGATGTCCGACTAACAAAGAAGACTGATGGAATTCTAAAGAGATCAATATATATCGAAAGCTCACGTGGAGCGGACAGATGGCAAACTTTTACACTTGGGTACCCATCAGTCGCAAGTGGAATCTGATAATTTCACTCGCAACTAGAATACGTAGAATTTGCGGCCCCGAATTAGTAGAAGAAGAGATTACTCTTTTGAGGAAGATACTACTTGAGGATGGCTACCCCCCTCCCAACACGATTTAGAGATGAACACATAAAGCCGAAAACTAACGAAGAACAACCTATCTTTGTGCCAAAAAAGATGCTGTACATGAATGTGGTGTTCAAAGGCCACTTTGTGGCCGATTAGTATTCTCAAGACACCCATCGTTCTTCATCAAATCCAAAAATAAACTATCGCATTTGACCACTTCTCTATGTGTATCTACCAGTTTACCTGCTCATGTGGAGCGAAACAGATATATAGGTCGTTCGATGAGTGTTTTACCTAAAAGAGTCACAAAACATTATCCCGCTTAGCTACGAAAATGTAACAGTTGATCAATAAGGAGTGCTATATATTTCAACATATATTCAACACTGGTCACTCAATATGCAAGGAGAATTCATTCAAAGTCATCTACAAAGTCAAAAGAAGCCTCCCGAAAACAGTAATCTTCCGTATACTGTGGATTGCCGAGGCCTTACCAATCCGGATAGAAAACCCTGATTTATGCACACAGAAGAAACTTCTCCACCTCTTCCTTCTACCTTGGATATAATTCCAAGTTCAAGTATTTTGTTATTTATACTACTTTGTGCATTTTTGTATGACATTTTAGTAACGTCTTTATGTTAACTAACCCTCCTATTTACTCTTTTTACCTACTACATAATTTATTTTGAGCACCTGTCTCCATGCTGTTTCATTAAAATCCCATTTTTCTAGGTGTCTATTACGCAACCCTAGTCAAGAGTTAATAATCTTCACTAACCCCCCCCCGTCTTAGTTACAATTTGTGTGCACATATCAGTTCACTTGTTGCTGTGGAGCCAGGTACATTGATAATTCGGAGCGTATCCTGTCCAAAAGGGTTCAAGAACACTATACCACAACATGGCTGGAAAAAGGTGATAGTGGTTATATAAGGAGTGCAATAATCGAACACCTCGTCAGTCAACTTCGGTAATTCCATCTCAACAGGCGGCCTCCTGCTTTAGAGTGATCAGCAAAGTGAAGAACAACCGACCAAAGGCAATACGCTTTCGTCTCTTCTGTGCATTGCTGAAGTCTTAGCCATTCAGTTGGAGAAACCAGGGTCATGCATACAAAAGAAAATCATCCAACCACTTCTATTATCATGGTAACAACCGTGTTGACTTCTACTGACCTCATGTTTGTGTAAATTTCCTTTTTTTTACAACTTCTTATATTATTTTTAGTTTTAAGAAGTCATACAAAATTCGATATTTCCCCTTGTTTTTATGAACATCCTAATCACAACTCACTCATTAAACTATTCATCTGATTACGTAACTGTATTACGCTTATTGAACTTCTTTTATGTGTTTATTAACATTAATAACTATTGCTTGAAGGGTTTCATCATGAGCTGACATCAGTTAGAGAACCACTGGAAAACCTGGGAGTACTGGACAGCCGTTTTGTCCTAGTTTGGGACTCTTCAGCAATACGCACCCGCCAGGGTTCAAACCCAGGACCTTTTAGGTAAAAGGTGAGCTCGTAGAAGAAGACATTGCGAAGTGGTCGCGCCATGTCGTGAATTGGCAGAAGTTAGAATTCAGGGACCATTGAATGGGGTCCCAGTGGCTCAATGGTCTACGAGCTCGCCTTGTAACCAGAAGGTTCTGGGTTCGAATCCCGGTGGGTGCGTACTGCTGAAGAGTCCCAAACTACGTTGATGAAACAGATGTCCAGTACTCCAGGTTTTACAGTGGTTCTCTAACTGATGTCAGTTCATGATGAAATCCTCCATGCAATCAAACAAAATCCCTACGAAACCAATACTTGAAAATTAATAACTATGTTTTTTGACAACACATCACCACTACTCTCTTACAAATCTTCACCCCCTCTGCCCTAGTTACAATTTGATTACTCATCACATTTTTGAATTGTCTCGACAACAATATAACCCTAATTTATTTTCGCTCTTATCGTACAAACCTAACGTACACACACACACACATACAAAATAAGTATATCTAATTTCGATTGTACAGCTGGCTAAGTGTGAATGAATTCGCTGGCGACAAAAAAAGACTCTTCGCTGAACTTTGTTGTTTTTACATTGATGTCTGGATGGGTATTTCTCGTGAATTGAATCAAATGCACAATTTGTACATTGATTAACAATTTGCAATGTGTACACAGTTCGAGGAGGTGAATTCCCAGAGTAATTCCCTTTGGAAATCAAGTTCTTCAGATCACCACACAATATGTGATCGATCTGCTTGATACCATATCAATACGATAATCATGAAAGCAAGCATATTTGCATACTACTAACTGAGTGAGATGAGGAGTGTTGCTTGTTAACTAGATCGAGGTGGCCGAAACACCGCTCGGCTGTTTCGCTCGTTCGATATCGAGGTCGCCCCATCGGTGTAGCTGATTTGATTCAGCTCAGAGATCCTAATCAGCGAAAAAAACAACACCCGATTTCTCACCCCGAACAAGCGAAACGCCTGTTCGGTATTTAGATCAGATCAGACTGACTGACGGGTTTCAACATAGAACAACTTTGCACCGATGTGTAGCAGTTCAAGTCGCCACACTCCCTCCATGTAGCATACAAAGCAAGTGAAGGAAGTAAAAAGGAATGCAAACAGAGACAGTAAACAGAGATATGAGGCAAAAAGAATAGTAATATCGAAGAACAATGTAGTTTTATTGGGTATTATAAGTCACAAGGAGTGACTGCATCTGCGCCAGCTACTGAGAACGATTTTGAACCAGCCATATCACCGATTGTCTCCATCCTTCACTGGTTTTTTTTACTGTCTCGAGGACCCCAACCAGTCAGGAAGTCTACACCTTCCTTACTAACTAACTCTTATGGATTTCATCTTAGATCAGATCACCTCGTTGATATGAATGGTATTGTAACTACTCATATCACTGAATCAGTAGTACATAGCTATATACAAAATGAGTCAACCATCTACTGACTACATGGCCCCATAGATGACTGATTAGATCACTAGTGTGGTAAACCAAGGGTCGAGAGTTCGTCGATAGTTCAGCGGGTGGATTGCTCGCCAACTATACCTCACTTGATCCAGGGTCGGAACTCCGGCCACCGACGCACTCCGAAACCTCGCTAAACCGATAAGTAAACCTCGTGAAGACGGAAGGTTGGGCTAGGCGAGACGAGGCTGGCAAACCCACCACCCCATAAAGAAAATAAACATCACCGATACCCTTGAAACTTCAAAACTCCAGGCCAACATCAATGACCAACCTGTTATCCGAATGACTGATACAAAGGCTAACTAACTATCTAACTAATTGATCAATTAGAATTTAACATCTCAATTTCAAATATAATGATGAGTTAGTTAAAACGCGAGAGAGAGAGAGAGGGAGAGACAGTTGTTGATGATTAATCATCAATGAATCCGTCTGTCTGTCTGTCTGTTAGTCACTAATCACTTGATACACATGTATGTATTTATATATATACATAATCAAATAATGAATATAGATGATGAGTTGAGCAACTTTCAGAACAACACAGCAGGATTATATTCATCAATTCATCACTTTAACATGCACCACTACGACTCAAAGGAAACACAAACTCTGTCTCTCTGTCTCCCTCTCCATTGCGCGGGGGGGGGCGGCAGGGTATCATTAAACATGACTAATATACTTTTACAAAAAGAAAAATAGCATAAACAGGTAGAGGATTGTTGAGTTTAAGGACTAATTGTTTATTGAATAAATTTTCATTAAGCGGTTGGTAGGCACAGTAAACAAAGTGAACAACTTTCATGAGATGAAGGAGAAACAACAACAACACCCCCATGAGACCAAAAGAAAGACTTTTCTCATATGGATGACAACAAATCAGTAATGAGAAAAGTTGAAATGACTTTATTTCTAGGTAGAAAGTATTTCTCTTCTCAGTAATAAATATTTGTTTGTTTGTTTGTTTTATTTCTAGGAAAAAGAAAGCTCATATTTGGTAAGTGATTACTAATCATCTTTCTTTCTCTCTCTCCCTCTCTGTTTCTTTCTGGTCTCTACATAAAAGAGCATCTCAAACAAACTGCAAACCTTCATTAACAGTTGTCTTCGCTCAATAATACTCAAGATCAGATGG